TGAAGGTACAAGCAGTGGCGGGCGCGACAGATGCATTTCGTCAAATGCAAACATTTTTGAGTTTGCATTGAAGCTAAAAAAACATGGCATTCTATTGGCTTTTAATCATTGGGATCGAAAATTGCACGCAGATGGCGCCTATACAGCGAGGTCGCTTCTGGTAAGTGTAAGAATCTGTGAGGTCGAAGATAGAGAATATATCATCTTCTAGAAATGAGAAGTTAGATAGTCATGGACTAATTATGCCCCAACAGACCTCGCGCTAGCGCTCCACGTCGATTTCCAACTGAAGGGATTAATTAAAATGATCCACTTGAGCACACGCTGATTTTATCTCAAGGGTGGCGTGTGGTGTATGTTCTCTTCAAACTTAGTTAATTGCAAAATATTCGGCGAATTCCCATGCAGTTATTATTGCTATGCACCCCTCCATAGACAGCTTACACACCCGAACGTAAGAGGACACAAGGCGCGAAATTTCGGAATGATATAGTTGATTCATTGAATGAGCGTCCAGTAAACCGACGCGTAACGTTTTTCTATATTTATCTCAATCAACGAGCTTTGGATACGCATTCGCAAACTGTCCCACAGGACAACTACCACCGTAACATTATCAGCCATCACGTCTTCAGCCGATCCGCCTTGTCGCTGACCAGGTCCTCACTTCGGTGGCATCATACCAAGAATTTGTATTTAATGACATAAGCGATAATTCATTGTTTTGTGATACAGCTTGGTCAACACTAGAAGAGGCATACACCTAAATCGCACAAGACAGGACAGCTCAAAACAAGTCTACCAACCTTATCTTTCAAAGACTTGAACCAAGAAATGTTGATTTCGCAAGTCAAGTATTAAGAAAAAGCTCAACAACTGTATAACTAGGGCGTTTGATGGGCAACAAAGCGTAGCTCCGCAGATTTATTTGTCGTGTCGATATCGGCGGTGATAATTGACACCCTTGTGATGATTCGAGCACTTTACAACCGACTCAAAAAAACTGGATGATGCCGTTCAATGGATCACGGAAAAAGTTTATATCCCGTCCAGTCTAGACGCGCTGAGAATGCGACAGGATTAATTTGCACTTTGCCGCATGTATGTCAAGAGCAGACGTCGAATAGTGCTCGGTGTATTTTGATTGTCGGGATAGCAAAACCAACGTACACAAACACATTTATTCTTCTTCTTCGTACCATGACTTACGTAATAGGATCACTGCAATAGCGTTGCTATGCATCTTGCACAAAGGAAGCTTTAGCTCAAGAGTCCACGCTGACAATTGCACAGAAAATAGTTTGCACGCTAAATTTAAGAACAAAACTGAGATACATAGTTCTTTTTTCTATTAAAAGGGTGGTCTAAAAAATTAAGACAAATTAAAAGTAATCCTAAATATATTAGTTAAAACTATGTGCTACAACGAGTGAGGCTAACAGTGTAACGGGGTTACACTATCCCTGGAAACAGGTGTGTGTGTCACACTAGATGGGCATGGTGTGACAACACCCAAGCAAGGCTGGGTAGCCAATGTATATTTAGATTTTACTACCCATATTTAAGAAAATCTATACATTTAAAATTAAGCGGCTTTGCCGCAGATAATAAATAAAAAAAGTCAGGTCTGGATTTAAACGGAAGAGTTAATTAGCTTGGGATTAAGGTAATAATTACTCTTGTAGTTAGCGGATCACGCTCCGCTAAACTCGTACTTGTTTTAAGTATAGAACGAAAGGTCGGTGACCTAACTTACGCTTCCTCAAAGTAGCACTTGTAGTCAATCTACACCTGAGTCGTTACGACTGATCCTCTGTGAGGATGGAACAATTTTCCTCTTTGCCACAGGGCATGCAGGACGGGCTTAACAAGCTGATGTTCTTGCTTGGACCTGAGGGCGTGCAACACCTCGCGGCGCAAGGCCCCGAGGCAATCGGTGCACGTCTAAAGGCGTATTCAAATTATGAAAGCGCGCTGCTAGAGCAACTGCAGCAGAAAATGTTTGCATCATTTGCGTCTATGACGCCACCGTCAGTGACGAATGATTCTCCCCGCCCTAAGCCACTCATGGTGAGCATTAACGTCTTCAAGAGAAGGATGGGGAGAATCTCCTGCTTTAGGTGGGAGAGGTCGAGATGGT